CATTGCCTTGGCTGCCACTACCCTATTCTTGCATTGTTCTTTCAGCATCTCTTCTGCAACAGCTTGCACCTGAACCATCGTAACAGCTTATCCTTCAACAACCACCACGTCCCTCTTCTTGATGACTTGAACTTGCACCGTTTTCATTGCTCACGCTGTGCCTAACCCATTCTTCGATTCCTTTCTGGACATCATCAACCTTAACAAGTGCAAAGCAAAGGCAGGATTCAACTCGAAACGACCACAGCTGCACCACATCATCAATCTCGAGTTGATTATTTTTAACAACCGAATTCCACATTGTGGTCAGAACATACATTGAGGTTTTCACCATGTTCCACCTCCTAAAGCTCAGTGTAGTCTCCTCTAAGGATGGTTCTAACAAGCGCACCTCCATACCCTTTTCGGCATTCAAATCCTCTGCCTCTTTTTTGTAGAGAAATTCATGACTTTGGATTTGGGAGAATGGTATGGAGAACCGACTGGCTCTAGGATTTACGTCTGAGAAAAAGATGGGTTTTTGTATTACCAGAAGCCAATCTGAACCACCCATCTTGCCAACAATATGCTCTTTGAAGTTTTCAGGCAAGTCTGACGGTGGGTTAGAACAACTTGGTATACCTATCCTGCTTCTCTTCAATTTCAGCCCTCCCTCTTCTTCTTCGTTGCTTTTAAGTTTTCTTTTAAGACCGGCATTCTTGATCAACTTCTTCTCCAGCTTAAAATTGATAGCCTCTTGAGCATTGTTTTTAAAATACTTCAACTTGAATGCCAAACCTTGTCTTGTCTTTTCTTCACCTTGTTTGATCTTCAAAGTTTTCTTCTTTAATTTTTCACGTCCTGTTCTTGCTACCTCTAACAAATAATCAAATGAACTCCAATTCGAATCAAATTTAAAATTTTTAAAATCTTTAACACAAAGTAGCTTCATATCTTCTTTCTTTATAAAAATCAAATAACTTTTTAAAATAAAATAAAAAAAAAGTATTTAATTTTTTACTATAAAATTATTTACTTGCAATAGAAGTTATAAAAAATATAATAAATTGTTTACTTGCAATAAAAGCTACTAAAATCTACAACTAGATATAAATAAGAGAAGCAT